TACAAGGTGAAGTTGATCATTTGTTAAAACAGGGGTATCTTACTGAGTTGTTCAGTGAGAAAGGTAAACAAGCATACATGAAGAACAGACAGGAGCCTCCAAAACCACCTTCACCCAAGAGAACTATCAACGTTATAAGTGGAGGTGAAGAGATCAATGATGTATCATATAAAAAGGTTTCAAAAGTGACAATTACCCACGGGAAGCGGCCTCGACATGTACTGGAAGAAGAGAATGTTATATTCAACAACGCAGACGCCGAGGGACTCATAACTCCGCATAACGACGCACTGGTAATATCTTTACTTGTACATGATACTAACGTGAAACGAGTTTTGGTTGATCCAGGTAGTTCTGTAAACATTGTTTTAATACGGGTATTGCGCGAGATGCAAGCGGAGGATAAATTAATCCCAAAGGCACATACTTTGTCGGGATTTGATAACTCTAGTGTTGTAACAAAAGGGGAGGCAATACTTACCACATTCGCAGAAGGCGTCGTTAAAGATACCAAATTTCAAGTGGTAGATATGGAAATGGCTTACAATATGATTCTTGGGAGGCCATGGATTCATGACATGGAAGCTGTTCCTTCAACTTTACATCAAGTTATTAAATTCCCATCTCCATGGGGAATATGCCAAATCAGAGGCGATCAACAAACATCTAGAAGCATCAATTCCGTTGCAGATTCAACTGTTAAAGGTGAAGACAAATAGCAATTACAGAATTTAGGTGAGGGTAACATGGAAACAACCTCACCTGAGCAAAAGCAAACAGATCTGGATTCAAGACCTGATACCATTCAAGAACCGGAGGAGAATGAGAACATCAAAACAACGATAGAAGAGCTAGAGGCCGTGGTGTTATTTATACATTGGCCCGAGAGAAAAGTGTACATAGGAGCTAATCTTAGCCCGGAGGTAAAACGTAAATTGATTGAATTTTTAAAAGCTAATGCGGACTGTTTTGCTTGGTCCCATTCTGACATGACAGGGATACCACCGGAAGTCATGACTCATAAGTTGAATGAAGATCCATCATATCCTCCCGTCAAGCAAAAGAAAAGAAAACAAGGAACTTTCAAAAATAAGGTGATTCAAGAGGAAGTTCAAAAGTTGCTAAAAATTGGTTCAATTCGTGAGGTAAAATATCCTAACTGGTTAGCTAATACTGTTGTGGTTCCTAAGAAGAACGGTAAGTGGCGAGTCTGTGTAGATTACACAGACCTTAATAAAGCCTGTCCAAAAGATTCCTTTCCTTTACCCCACATAGATCAGTTAATTGATGCTACTGCAGGGCATGAGCTATTAAGTTTTTTAGATGCATATTCAGGCTATAATCAAATCAAGATGGATCCACGTGATGAAGAAAAAACTTCTTTTATAACAGACAGGGGGACTTATTGTTACAAGGTAATGCCCTTCGGTATTAAGAATGCAGGTGCAACGTATCAAAGGTTGGTCACCCAAATGTTTCAAGAACATTTAGGTAAAACCATGGAAGTATATATAGATGATATGCTAGTTAAAACACAGCATTCAGAAGATCATATATCGCACTTATCTGATACGTTTAAAATTTTACGAAAATATAATATGAAGTTGAATCCAGAAAAATGTGCATTTGGTGTGGCATCGGGAAAATTTTTAGGTTTTCTTGTTTCTAACCGTGGTATTGAAGTGAATCCTGCACAGATTAAGGCCATTGAAGAAATTCCAGATATACTTTCCAACAAGAAAGAGGTTCAAAGACTAACAGGAAGAATTGCAGCTTTGGGAAGGTTCATTTCTAAATCATTGGAAAAATGTTTTAAATTCTTCTCGGCTCTTAAGAAGCAGGAGTACTTAGAAAAGGTACGGGAACTGATAAAGCAATTCCAAACTTGGAAGGTCATACAGATATCGAGGGATGAAAATGTTGAAGCAGATGCCTTAGCTAATCTCGCATCCGCAGCTGATGTGGCAAAGGATGCAAATGCTGCAATTATACATTTATTTCACTCAGTTCTCGATCCAGATAAAAATGAGGTAAATTTTAATAATTTAACTTGGGATTGGAGAAACGAAATTGTTGCTTTTTTGCAGTATGGTACCATCCCTAGTGACAAAAAGCAAGCACATGCACTTCGCAAAAAAACTGCTCGTTACTGTTTAAAACAAGGGAATCTTTATCGTAAGATGTTCGGTGGTCCATTAGCAAGATGCCTCGGACCTTCTCAAACGGAATATGTAATGAGGGAAATACATGAGGGGCACTGCGGGAATCACGCAGGAGGAAGATCATTGGTTAGAACTTTGATTAGAGCAGGATATTATTGGCCTAAAATGGAGGAAGAAGCAGAAAGTTTTGTAGCTAAATGTGATAAATGTCAAAGGTACGGTAACAACATGCATAGACCTGCGGAGTTGTTACATCCGATCATATCACTGTGGCCATTCATGAAGTGGGGAATGGATATCGTGGGTCCATTACCACAAGCAAAAGGACAGGTAAAATTTTTGCTCGTGCTTACTGATTACTTCACTAAATGGGTAGAGGCAAGAGCATTTAAACAGGTACGAGAAAAGGAGGTCAGAGACTTCATTTGGCGTAATATTATCTACCGTTTTGGTGTACCAAAGGAAATTGTATGCGACAATGGCCCTCAATTTATCGGAGCTCAAGTTACTGAGTTTTTTGAGAGTTGGCAAATTAAAAGAATCACATCTACACCGTATCACCCAGTAGGCAATGGGCAAGCAGAATCAACGAACAAAGTCATAATCAACAATTTGAAGAAACGATTAGAGGAATCAAAGGGTAATTGGCCTGAAGTGTTACCCGGAGTTCTATGGGCATATCGCACGACAACAAAGACGAGCACAGGTGAAACTCCTTTCTCTTTAGTTTATGGAGCTGAAGCATTAATCCCAGTTGAAATAGGAGAACCGAGTACAAGATTCTCACAAGAAACACAAGAGTCTAATGATGAAGAGATGCGAGTCAATTTGGATCTACTGGAAGGCAAGAGAGAAGCCGCATTAATAAGAATGGCAGCACAAAAGCAAGTGATCGAACGATATTACAACAGGAAAGCACGACTGAGATACTTCAAAACTGGGGACTTCGTGCTTAAAAAAGTTTTTCAATCTACAAAGGCGGACAACGCGGGTAAACTAAGTCCAACCTGGGAAGGACCCTATAGAGTTCGAGATATTGCAGGAAAAGGAGCATACGAGTTAGAAACAATGGACGGAAAGGTGCTTCCATCGCATTGGAATGCAGTTCATTTGAAGAGATACTACTTCTAAGAAAAAACCCACGGTCAGGTATCGCCATGTTAAATTATATTTTTTGAATTGTTAAAATTTTACTAACGATTTTAGATGATAGGCAAAACGCTAACCGTACTAAATGATGAGTCACGACCTGTAAGGCAAAATGGAGTAAACTAAAAATNTATTGTTCTAAAACGAGTTATAAAGAAAAACCTCATGTTTATTATTTTTTCTTAAAAAATCTGTTATAAGAAAAAACAGTTACGAGAAAGTTATAGATGTAATTCAAGCATATGTAAAGTATTATTCAAAACTTGTCAAAGTTCAGAAATAAAAATTTCTCGAAGTTGTTGCAAAAAACATGTGTGTTCCTATTTCTTTTATCGTATGATCACACCATTATGAAGTTGAGACGTCTTCTTCATTAAGTGTCAAAATATAAAAGGGCCCTCTTTTATAAAACTCATGTTATTTAGTCATGGGATTAACAGAAGCATTTTTCAAAGAACAAAAATGCAGACTATTCTTTAAGTCCTT